TTTTTTTAAGAGAACAATTAAGAAAAAGAAAAGTAACAATCTAAATGATCAATTCTAATCATTCGTATCATCTTTGACAATTGCATTATCAAATAAAACTTCTCATTCATGCCAATTGTATAGGAGAAAAATTTTCGATACAAAATATCGTTTGATACTATCGAATATGTTTTCATCACTTTGACAATATGGTTTTGTTTTTTTTTTTTTTTCTAATTGTCAATAGTATACACTTATTTAAGTTATTATTATTTCTTTTTGAAATATACTTTATCTTCAAATCTTTCTACGAAAAATTTAAGAAAAAAAGAATTTTGGATATGAAATAAATTTTTTGTTAAATATGAAAATTTTATAAAGAAATATATTCCTATTAATATTTAATTACAATTGATGATAATCGAAATGTGATTTAAATAATTTCCAATGCATTGTAATGGACGATGAAATATGTTTTTATTAGTTGTAGAAAAAAAATACGAAGAAATTAGGTCATATATTCATATATATATATATATGACATTATTTGACCTATATGAGGTCATCCAAATGGTACGATTGTATCCATCAAAGTTACCACCATCATTTTTCATAATGTCAATATCTAACCAGTTAAGGAATGATCATCCCAAATGATAAGATTTTTTCCATCAAAATTATCAGTATCTTTTTTTCATTGTATTAATATTTAACTCGATAACAATATATGACAAGATCTTTTTTTTTCATCAAAATTGCTAACATTTTATTTCAATATGCTAATATTTATTCTATAAGGGATCATGTAAATGTGAGATTTTTAAATTTTTTTTTTTTCGAAATTTATGATCACTAATATCTTTACTTCATTTTACACTTTGCAATCCTCTCTTCAGGAAAAAAAATAGAGGTCAGAGAGTATCTTCAAAGTGACAATTGTAAAATTGTTTCATTCAATTCGATTCATTTTAACAATTTCTTTTACATCATTCGTCTTCTTCTTCTTAACTTCCTTTTTTCTTTTTTTTTCTCATATTTTATTTCTTGTTTTTTTTTTAGAATCATTACTGTTTTATTTCCAAAAATGTTTTTCATTTTATTATAAAGAAATGATACAATGATTTGATCTGATTGCAAATCCTTCATTGATTCATCCTAATCATAAATTCATTCAAATTACTATCCGATTGTTGATAACATTTCAATAAATTTCAAATATTACTACATTTTGTCAATTATTATTGTCATCAACATCATTATCATCATCCATCATCATCATCATCATCATCATCATCATCATCATCATCATCATCATTATCATTATCATTATTGTTAATATTATTGCCTAAATCAAATATCACCAATTCATATATCATCATTTATCATTAGGCTTCGTAAATGAATATTAACATCATCCACCACAATTATCATCATTATTATTATTATCATCATCATTGTCGTTATCGTTAACATCATTTCCTAAACCAAATATCACCCATTCATATATTATCATTTATCATTAGGCTTCATAAATGAATATTTTGGGAATGAGTATATGTGATTGCTGCAAATGCTATCAAATGTGAATGTATTCTTCGAACCTGTGTAATGGATTTTTTAGGTGAGGCGTAGTATGAGTAAAACTAGCCTAATCCTTTACTTTTAAGGCTCATCTAATAGGGCCTAGCGAGCCTGAACAGTAGCAGTGAAATCCTTAGGATGTAGATTTTGTTTAAAGTTTTTTTTTTATTTTTTTCATAGATGGATGACTTTAGAGGATTAAACGAGTTTCATCTGCTTGCGTATGGTGTTTAAATTGTCATTCACCTAGGATGGTCGCCGAGAAGCTAATGAGCCTATTCAGCATGTGGACATATTTTGTTTAACCATTCATATGAAACCTATCGGAGGCATATCTCACTACCAGAACACTTCTCAATCTCATTACGGTAACCCAAGCATTTTCCCCCTCCCCTCTCCCACCCCGTAACAAGATGGTGTCCATTGGAGAACTATCAGTATCTACAGAATGATGAAATGAGTAATTGTCATCTGTCGCTGATGTGTTTTTTATTCATCTTAAAAGAATATGTACAGTGTGATTTATTCATATTTACTCTTCTCAAGTAAAATATTATCAAACAAACTGATGATTAGAATTGAAATTTAGGATTGATTATTAATGGAGAGAGAAGAAAGAAAAAAAGAAAAAAGAAGATCGGGAAAAAAGCAAAAAAGAGGGAAAAAAGATCGAGAAAAAGAGAAAAAAAAAGAGAGGATCAAGAAAAATAAGAAAAAAGGAGGGTCAAGCAAAATCAAATTAAAATTTTCTAGGCTAAAGTTTTTTTTCTGAAGTTCAAAATTTTTAGATTAAAGTTTTCGTATTTTCCTTATTTATCGGATAGCTATTGCAGTTTTTGCTTTGTTGTTGTTGTTGTTGTTATTGTTGTTGTAACTGTTGTTGTAACTATTATTGTAACTGTTGTTGTTATTGTTGTTGTAACTATTGTTGTAACTATTGTTGTT